GACTGATAGGTGAAGGGCAAGTCCCTGCGAGCTAAGACATATTCGTATTTCATGATGTGATTCAGTGACTTTATTTAGAGGACAGAAGCTTTCCAAAGATTCCAGCAGCCCCACCATTTAATGTGGCCACTCCTTATTTCTTATAGTGATAGCCAGAAGGATGGTTCGTCCTTCAATAACTCACACAACAGGCATCATTCTTGTTCTTCTTTTTTTAAAAAAAAAAATTTGTGTACTTGTTATAGGGTCTCACTATGCAGCTCAGACTCATTGTGGTCCTCCTGTTTTTCCACTTCCCCAGTGCTGGGATTACAGGCATGCACCACCACGCCTAGACTCAGCGTGCCCAGAGGTGGGGTTGGTGCAGCATGTTAGTACTGGGAATTGAACCCTGATCCATGTGCTTGCCTAAGCAGGTGCTTAGTCCACTGAGCTATCTCACCAGCCCAGACATCAATATCCTCTTTCTGGGCTGATCAGTGTCTGGCTGAAGAATAAAAGATTTTTCTTTCGATCTAGCAATCATTTTCTTTCTCACTCTCAAGTCACTAAACAAGGTCAAGTTCAGAGAAGAGAATTCCTTAGACAAGAATTCTCTGATTGCCTAGGAGAAATTAGTTCATAGTAAGAAGGGGTGTGTCAAGACGCCTGTGGCTTTTTCTCTCATAAGATGTTTCTAAGTCGAATCAAACATGGGTTGTTTTGAAACAGACATTAACTATAGCCATTTTGTAATGGATTATTGTAGGTGTTCTTTGTGAGTTTCATGATCCCATTCCATCTCTTTTCCTAGAGGATGGGTGGTGTGGTATTGAACTTTGTCTTCAGTTATTGATTTAAATTAATCATAGTCATCCTGTCCAAATGCTTAACTCTGCTCCCAGGTGGACAGGCTATTCATTTTAGGCATTGAAAATTTGACTGCTTTTGTATATTGGTATAGATAGACTGTTAAGCTGCAAAAATATAAGGATCATCTCCCAATGAGCCCTTTCATATCACTTCTCAATGGTCTTCAAAATAGAGAAACATTCAGCTTTAGAATTCATGCTCTGACCTTAAAGGGGCTAATGTTGCGGAAGTTGGTTGGATTCCATGTTTGAAGTAATGTTTATTGCCTTATTTTGAAAGCCCTGACCTGACTGCTTATTGACAATGAGGTTTTTTTTTTTTTAATTTTTAATTTCTTATGTATTTAGTGCAACATTTACAGGGTCTCACTACATAGATCAGACTCATAGTGATCCTCCTGTTTTGAGCCTCCCAAGCACTGGAATTATGGGTACACACTACCATGCCCAGTCTCAGTGGCCGTTTCCTTATCTAAAAGGAGTATAAGGTATAAAACTATACTATTATCATCTTTTAGAACTGTATTTATTTTATCTCTAATATGGAAACTGTTCTCTCCCATGCTATTTATGTGATAATGGCAAAGAGTACATTTTACTTTATCAAGAACATAGTGCCTTGCTTGTGGTGATTATTTGACATGCATTTCTTGGATGGAATGAAACAGAATTTATTGTAAGTGGTGCTAACTCAGACCAGTTCCTCACTGAGCTGATTTCACAGTGGTAGACCTGTTGAACTTCCTCATTTTACCAAGAAGTAACAGGGAAGGAAGAGGAGCTCAGCCCAAGGAGGTGAGCCTACAGGCCACGGGACAGTCTTAGGTAGTAGACCTGAGGATAGAACTTATCTCACCTAAATCCCACTCTAGTTTCCTTTTCCTCATATATAATAGTCCCCCCATATTTTTGCACTTAGGGGGAAGAAATGCAAACGATGCAAAAATACTTCTAGCAAAAACTGGTGTCCTCAGGACATGTGAACACAGGAAGTGAGTGATAGAAAGTCAGCGACAACTCATACAGTACAGGGTTGTCTTAGCTACTCTTCTCTTGTCGCTGGAACAAATACCTGACACCCAAATTGAAGGAAGGAAAGGATTATTTAGCTCACAGTTACTGGAGGTTTTGGTCCATACTCGGCTGGTTCCAAGGCAGAGTGGCACATGGCAGAGAACAACCTTTCATGGTGGTGGCAAAGAGTAGGAGCGCAAAAGGAGGGGTAGCAGCAGCTCAAGCAGCTAGCTTCCCTTCCCACCTTACGTTGTAATGCAAATTACCTTCCCTAGGGCAGGTGCAGCACCCACACCCATAGTAATCAATCACAAACTCCAGAAGCAGACCCAGACTGCATGAGGTTTTGGGGGCACACCTAGACACAAACCATAACAAGGGTGGTCTGTGAGGGCATCTTGGATAGAATCATATTCAAGGAAAGACTTGAAAGGAGAGAATCAGCAGTGTTGGTATCTTGGAAAGAGCAGTCAGGCAGGGAGGACACTGGACAAAGGCAGAAGTGGGAGCACCCTTGGGACATAAAGTAAAGAGAGAAGAGAGAGGAAACCAGATGATAGACAGAATTCTCCATTTCATTCAAGGATGCATAAGACTTAATAAAGAACTACATTTACCTAAATGAGATGAAAGTAATGAGGGTTTACAACAAAATTGGAAAGTGATATGATTTGCATTTTGGGAGGTTCATTTCTATGAACAATTAGCTGTATGGAGGTGGGAGTACTGGGGGACCAGTGAGAAGTCCAGGCAAAGACTGATGAATGTTTTGACAAGATTAGTAACACTAGGAGTAAGAACAAGTTAGTAGATTAAGGATATTTTTAGAAAAACCAATAGGATTTGTCAAAAAATTGGAAATAGATTGAGCAGTGGGAGAGAGTAAAAGACTTTTTACCTAAATAGCTGAGCCTCCTGGCAAAGAGCCTCTATTAATTGAGAGGGGAAAGACTGAAGAAAAAACTCATTGTGTATTGCTATTTGGAAGTGAAAAGTATGACATTCATCAAGTGGACAGCTGGATAAATTTTGGAGTCCAAGAGAACGTTGGATTTAGAAACATGGAAATTATTAATGGAGAGACTGTATTTAAAGTCATGATATGAAATGAAATAATCTTGGAACGACTTGTAGACAGAGAAGAGTTTATTTTTTAATATTTTAAACGTATTTGTATAGGGTCTACAAGGTCTCACTACACAGATCAGACTCGTAGTGATTCTCCTGTTTTCAGCCTCCCAAGTCCTGGGATTACAGGTGCATGTGCCACCATGCCCAGTCTCAATCGCTGTCTCAGTGTGCCTCAGGGGCAGGGCTGGCACAGCATACTGGGGGATCAAACCTTGGTCTGCACTCTGCCTAAGCAGGTGCTTTAGTACACTGAGCTATCTGGCCAGCCTGACAGAGAAGAGTTGAAAATACTGAGTTCTAGGACATCTAAGTAGTTAGAGACAGGGCACATGAAGAGGAACCTTAGAAAGCAAAGATACTACAAGAGCTTTTCATGAGCTAAGAGGAGCCAAGAGAAGTAGTAACTAGAAGGTTAGGGAAGAAACTATTTTAAAAGAAAGTAGTAGCCGACTATCAGATGATGACCACTGAGATCTGCCCATTGAACCTAGTAGCAAAGACCGTCAGCGATTTTGACAAGAGTTGGTTTAGTAGAGTTTTATAACTCTATGTATGGAAGTTTGATGGGAAGGCTTCAGAGAAGAATGAGAGAAAAAGAAATGGAAACTATAAGTACAGATAACTGTGAAAGTACAGATAACTTTATGAATTCATCATTATCATCCTCATTGTTATCCTTATTCAAGGATGAGCAGGTGAATGGATGACCTTGAGAAACACGCCAGGACAGAGGAGAACAACAAAAAAGATTAAGATAGAGGAAAAGAGGACATTGATTGGCTGGAGCTGTATTGTAAGTAGATGCGAGAAAAATGGACACAGTGCTCTGGTGGAGGACCCCGAAGAGGAGCCCAGTAATTCAAGTCGGTAATGGCAGACAGAGCTGGTAGAATCTGTGAATGTTCTCTTGTTAACTCCTGTTTGCTCAGTGAGAGGAGGAAAAAAGTCAACCACTGAGAGAGAGGAAGGCAGATGAAGTACTGGAAGGTTGAAGAGAGAAGGGATTTACAAAATAATTGCCCAAAATAAAGAGGACCCCGAAAAATGAAGTAGGACCACTGAACACATTCCACACTGCCAAGCAGAGAGCCAGGTACAACGTAACTTCCCTGGATGAATGATGAACCATGAGGAAGGAGCCAAATGGAGGAATTCAAAACCCACTACAACACATAAATCAGCCTGTCAGATTTGGATCCATTTTCAATCGTGTATGTTTGGTCAATTTTCCTCAAGTACCATTGAAGGAAACTATAAAAGTCATGATTTAAGCATCTTTCCTGGCAGTCCAATAGAGGGATACAGCCTTTGCCAAATGATAGAATTATGGACTCTCATTGGAAAGCTCCTTTCCAAGACAGATTTTTACTGCCACATTCCATCTCCCCTTATAGTGTTGTTCTCTTTATTGGTACTTTTTCCTTCCTTACAGGTTTTTAAATATCAGTTCTCAGCATCCATCATCTTAACAGCTGTTCTTCCAATTTTCCACATAAAATTTCTGCTTTTACATTTCTCTTAGGAATATCTCATCAGTGTCATATGCTCCCAACCTTTACTGTCCCATAAAGACCCTTCCCTCTACCCCCAGAGAAGTATCTAGTCATAGCAATGAAGTATGTGGACTAGAGGCTCCACATTCTTTTCATTTCATTCATCTGCTTTAGAAAGGTCTCAGGAGCCCTTGGCTGTCTTCTAAATGATGATTCACCTGCTGGTAGAGAATTTCAATAATTTTATTGCTTTCTCCAGCCAGAAGTATCCTTAGATTGCATGTCTTTCTAGCTTAGAAAGACAACCTTCCACCTGAAAATAGTTCTGTAGAGACTTACTGTCAAGTTCTGCTTTTTGTCTTCACATCCAGTTTTTAAAATAATGTGTCTCAGGCCTTTCTGATTAGGCCCAAGTCTTCTGTGAAGAAAATGACTTAGAATTAATCCAAGCCTAAGACTTAATTCTTTGAAGAAGATCTATGACAGGCATCAGCCAGAAGATACCGATAACTCTCCATTTCTTGGTGGACTCGGCAGGCAGTTCTGTTCCCCATAATGTTCCAAGGGGGAAAAAAGGGGGGCTGTTGCCCTCATGGCATCATGTCTTCAGTGCTAGCGAAGTCCAGTCTGGTGGTTCTATCCTCTAGCACCGCGACAGGCTCTGCAGGGAGGCGCTGGGGGAGGGTGCTCACGTGCTCTTTCTGGATTTCAGGTCCACGGATGCTGGCCTGGGAGTTGGATTTATTGAATTCTCCTTCCTGTGACCTTGGCAACCAATAAAGACTGCTGGTGCTAAAAAAAAAAAAGATATCAATAGATAGATAATTTTTATTTTGCTTTTGAAACATATCAAGGCAGGAAATATACAGAAAATTATAAAGCAGATACCACTGCTTTTTAAAAATTCTACACCTTCTTTCTGGAGTGCATCCTTTAGAGGTCTTGCAGCACTACTCTATGCCAAATAAACTCTGAATTTTTATCTAAAAACATCTATACTTTATGCTCACTCTTGACTCATTTTTTCTGATTGTGTAATTATAATATGATTTTTAAAATTTTTGCTCAGCATGTTGATGTATTACCTTATTTTTATCAAGTCTTTATTGTGGTTGAGAAATCTACTGCAAGTCTGAATTTTCCTTTTAAGGTCAACTGGCTTGAGTTACTTCTCAGATTTTTTTTCTTTATTAGTAGAATCTTACATTTCCACACTGGAGCATCTAGGTGGTAATTTAACTTTATTTTTTTTTCTCTTTGGGATTCATTGCTTTTCTTGTTTCTGGACTCATGTCATCAGTTATGAAAAATTTTCATTACGAATTTTTAAAATATTAACCTCCCTCCTTGCTTTCTTCCTTTATTTTCCTTCTGAGATTCCTTTCAGGTGTAGGTGTAACATCTCTCTTTTTTCCTCCATGATTTTAATGCCTCTTTATTAGTCCCTTTTTCTATTTTTTATTTTAACTTTGAACAGCTCTTCACATAGATGTTTCTTATCTGCAGATTCTTCATCTGTTTTATTTGGCCAGTGAGCATAATAGTAATTGATTCCTTTTTAATTTCTAAACATTTTATTTTCATTATATTGTTATTTTCCCATGTTTCTAGGTCCTTCTTTTTTATCCCTAATTACTTAAACACACATATTTTTATTTTCAACATTTTTATTACATCTATTAATTTTACAAATATTGGGTTTCAAATGGTAACTAAATATACGTATTTTAGTCTCAGCCAACCATTTTATCTGAAGTGTGACCTCCAGTTCTCTAAGTAACTGAGTCAGTCTACTTGTTTTTCCTCATGTCGAACTTCTAGAAACTTCTTAGTATATTTTATGACATTTTGGCACAGCTCATCTTTAGCGGAGCTTATTCTTCTGCACGGGTCACCTGCAGCCTTGGGGGCAGGAGCATTCCTCCAGAAGATATTTTTCATCTGTTTCTAAGGTGCTCGTGGCATCCCTGGCTCTGGCTTTGGTGCTCAGGGACCAGATGTGGAGGGTTACTTCCCTGTTACTTATTGATTTAAATGCAGATATTGTGAATTTCGTCTGAGTAAAATTTCAAAAAATATTCTTTTTTTGTAAAAAAAAAAAAAAAAAAAAAAAAAGAAAGAAAGAAAAAGTAGTGGAGGAAAACTTCCCAAACATGGATAAATACTTTGACACACAAATAAGTGATGCATATAGAACTCCAAATATCCATGATAAAAATAAGTCTACACCAAGGCATATAATAATCAAGATTCTAGAAATTCAGCAGAAAAACAGAGCATTAAAAGCAGTTAGAGAAAAGAAATAAATAACTTATAAAGGAAAACCCATTAGAATTACAGCAGACTTCTAAACATAACCTTCAAGTCAAGGAGAGCATGGAGTAAAGTATTTCAATCCCTAAAAGGAAATAACATCCAATCATACTGATATACCCTGCAAAACTATCTTTCAAAATCGAAACAGAAATAAGATACTTCTATGATATAGAACAACTGAAGAAATTCAAAGCCACAAAACCAGTTCTCTGAAATACTCTGAAGAATATTTTAGAAAGAGATAAGCAAGATAACAATTCCAGAAACACTAACAGAAAGAAGTTACCAGGCAGGGAAAGCAGTTAAACATAGAGGAAAGACAAGGAACCAATAGCAGGAAAATAAGATGAGAAAGATAAAAGAATACATATCACTTATAACCATCATTGTAAATGGCCTCAATTCAACAATCAAAAGAGACAGACAGACAACAAAATGTTGAACCTCATACTTCTAGAAAAAGAAGAACAAATCAAATCCAAATATATGAGACAAAAAATAGTGAAGGTAAGAGCAGAAATAAATGTGAACTCAGGCCCTCGTGCTTGCCAGGGAAGCACTTATCCACTGAGCCATCTCCCAAGCCCCAATAAACTTAATTTAAAAAGACTTTGGTGGGCACCTGGGCTGCAGGAGCTGTAATATGTGCCTCCAGAATTGTGCTAGATGTCTTAGTTATTTTTTTCTCATTGCTAAGATGAAATATCCAACACCCAAGGTTAAAGGAAGAGAGGTTTATTTAGCTCACCGTTTGCAGAGGTTTCAGTTCATAATCAGCGACTTCAAGGGAGAGTGGCACATGGCAGACAGGCAACTGTTCATGGTGGCAGAAGCAAGCAAAAGTAGCAAGATATGAGGAGAGACCAAGCCCCTTTCCTTCTCTTTTATTATATGCAGGCTACACACCAGACGGCTGGTAACTTCGCATGTCTAACTCCAGCACTTAACAATGAACCAGTCACAAACTGGATTCAGCCACCTCCAAAAGACCTGCCACCCATAACTGCATATGGTTTTTGGGGACATCCAGACACAAACCATAACAAATAAGGTGGGATTGAGTGAACATTCTAGGCAGACAGAGGAGATCAGCGAGATGTCTTCCTGGTTAGTTCTGCTTTTCCCTTGTGTAGGATTCTTCCTGACTGCTGTGCTGATAAGTCCCTGGGAACCTCCGATGATGCTTTGACCCCATCTCCACTGTACCTTATCTCCAACATGATCAAGTCATAGTTGCTGCGTTTTACCAATGTTAACTTCTGAACTGTGCTTCTTAGGCTGTCCAGTCTCTGCTTATTTATTGCCATCGCTGGTCAGGCTTCCTATTTCATGCTGTGCCTCTTCACTGGTTTCTTGGCCTTTGGGCTATCTCACCCTTTGCCACTTGTTCTACTACAGGCATTTGTGCTAACAGCAATGATGACTTCATAAGTCAGTATATGAGAGATTTTTCTGCTCTCAAGACTTGTGGTCAAGCAAAAAAGCACACATGGGAACATATAGAGGCTACAAAATTTTCTATAAAACTATACAGGATGCAATATGCACAAGAGGAGAAATTATAAATTCTATGACAGAAAGTGGGAGCCATGATGGAAACCTCTCCAAAACCTGTCTCCTTCTCACCCACAGAATGAGTTTCTTCTACAATGTACTCTTGCTACTTTTTCTGCCTTCTATTCTCCTCATCTGCTTCATGTATCCTACATTCGAGCCACACCGCTGTGTGCACATATGCCTTGAGCCTTCTTGTCTTTCTGCTGCTGTTCTTGGTGGTCCATTTGCCAGAAAACTGTTCCCCACACTGATTTGAAAATCCAAATCATCATATAAAACAGTCCTCTGCACATAATTAACTCTAATGTCAATCAATTTTATTTTCATCTCTTCATCATCATCACCATCCTAAAGACTAACTCAATTCTCACAGCTCTTAGTATTTTCTTAAGTCATTTGTGGTCTTACCTGTGCTCCATACAGTGGTACCTCAACTCATGAACATAATTGGTTCCCTGATTCTTGTTGTAAACCAAGTTGGTCACAAACCAAATCAAATGTGTGCATTGGATTCAATCTAAATAAGGACAATCCATTCTGAATTATATGTATTTTTTAAACACAAAAATATGAAACATAGTCCTGTACAGTATGAAGAGAGTAAACTAGACTTGCTTGAGTTGATTTCTACAATGGAGGTCAGGTTGGTAGGTGGGGAGGAGGTTATTGTTTGAAGGAGAGCCGCCTCCTGAAGATCAAGGAGATCTTTACAGATTTCCTCTTTTCTTTGTTTCTTAACCGCAGGGTCAGTTTTGATGAAAAATCTGTTTAATGTTACTTGTTCTTTTCCTGTGCTGTGTAACACTCTGAAAATGAGAAACCACATTATTGTTATCAGATTCAACATTCTGTTCATTACAGTTATGTTGATATGATATTTCTCAAAGAAATCCTGGCACTTGTTCTACTTTTCCATAATGGATTTTATCACAACAGTGCTAACTTCCTCTCTGTCTTCCTTTTCCTCCATGGAATGCTCCTCAACAAACGCCTTCTGCTGCTTACCCTGGAGCTCAACAAATTCTTGTGTCGCCACCTCCTCCTTATGGTCCTCAACAAGCTTTCCCTGTGTCTGCCCCATTGATGTCCAGGCCCACACTCTTGCCCATGGGGACAATCTCCTCCACTAACTGTGCATCAGACCCACGTCACATCCAGTGGCACATTCTAGACACAGTTTCCTCCAGGCTGAGTTTAAGGACATCTTTCCAACCTTTGTCAGAGGAGGACATTGAAATGTTTCTTCCAGAACTCTTCTAGTGTCAAAGATGTCTCTTCAGTGACAGTGAAGCACTGGTAAAGAGCACCTTTGTGTACAGCTTCTTGAAGTTGCAGATCATTTGCTGCTCCATGGGCTGCAGAAGAGCTGTCTGGTTGGCTGGGAGGAACTTGACCTTTATGAAGTCATACTTAGCATCTGTATCATCCACAATGGCTGGGAGGTGTGCTGGGACATTGTCCATCAAAAGAAAGCACCATTCAGGCAGTTGGTTGAGAGAAAGACATTTTTTCTTTCTTTCTTTCTTTCTTTCTTTCTTTCTTTCTTTCTTTCTTTCTTTCTTTTCTTTTTTGTTTGTTTGTTTGTTTATGCAGGGTCTCACTATGCAGCTTGGACTCGAAGTGTTCCTCTTGATTTCTGCCTCCCTAATGCTGGGATTACAGGCATGTGCCACGCCTGGACTCCATCGCTGGCTCAGCACGTCCAGCTGCAGGGCTGTTGTGGCATGCACAGCTAGGGATCAAACCCTGGCCCCTGCACTTACTAAGCAAGTGCTTAGTCCACTGAG